TTTTCTCACACACAAAAAAAACTATTCAAGTTTGGTGAACACTAGGTACATGAGGTTCTCTGATTGTTATAAACACTTTACATAAGTATAGCCCTAAATTAAATCGGCTAGACTCACACAAAATTCATATATGTGCAGGACAAATAAATTGGCAAGGTCAGGAAGCAAGACAGATACTGGATACTGGATAATATTAGACAATTTACCAAAAGGGATCTAATAAAAATTTTCAGTTCGTGTATGACTTGCTTGTACTAGTTTCGAAATCATTGTGTCCAGTGAAAAATGTTTCTTTGCTTTTCAAAAGAATCTATCATGTAGATCCTGCTAACTTTGACTTTTTTTTTTTGAAAACGCAGGAGAGCTGCGTTCATTGTATTAAAGAGATCCTGCTAACTTTGACTAGTAATCATCGCAAAAAAAGAATTGAATAATAAGTATTTATGCCGATCATCCCAACCTTGGCATTGATAATTTGTAGTGGACTATACTATTTTAGTGGATACCCATACGTCATAGTAGTTTCTCTTCCTCCAGGTACACGTTGATATTTGAATTGAAATTTTGTGTGGGATGATGCTTAATGATACTAGCACATGCTTTACAAGTTTAGATCAACAATTCTTCTAAGAAACTTTCCAGACTATTTGTCTAATGTTTTGAGGGATAGGAGCAAGCTAGCATACTGTGGTTTTTCTTTGTTCTGAAGATGAAAGATTCCCTCATGTATCTTCAAAATACCGTGTATGTGTCAAAGTTAGAGACTACTCGATTCAACAATTAATTATTAAGTTTTTGTTAACTGTTGACCATAACATGTTCTCAAACATTTTGTTTCCATAATGGTTTTGACAAACTTGTGTGATGGTAGTATGACATCCATTCAAAGATCTGAAAGGGATATACAACTGCATCAGTAATGAATGCTATCTTTGGAATTAGTTGGGCATTCAATTCGGGTGCCACTCTGGTAGTTCATTTTCAGATGGTGGTGCAGGTTGGGGAGTGGCACGAGACCATCTTGGGACTAGGGCTCAAGTGAAAGAGGATTTGAATATGTTGTTGAAGGAATTGCGCTGAATTTTTTTTACTCCAATTCTTAGCAAATTCAGAAGTTCTGAACAGGGGGGATTTATACAAACACCATTGCACTGTTATGGCATATATACAATTAAAACCTATAATAATGTCATGAACCCAAAAAAACAAGGATGATTAGTGTGGAAATTATACCTACTTAGGGGGTGTTTGGATCCAGTGACTAAAAATTAAGAGGTGTTACGTGAGGGTGTCGCATGGGGTGTATGGATACTAATAAAAAAACAAATTACAGAATCCGTCGGTACTCCACGAGACGAATTTATTAAGCCTAATTAATCCGTCATTAGCACATATTTACTGTAGCACCACATTGTCAAATCATGGCCTGATTAGGCTTAAAAGATTCGTCTCGCAAATTAGTCGCAAACTATGCAATTAGTTTCGTAATTAGTCTATATTTAATACTCCATGCATATGTCCAAACATCCGATGGGACAGCGACTAAAGTTTAGGAGGAGCAACCAAACACCCCCTTAATTAACGCACGTTCAGAAAACGAAATAATTCTGCTGTGGAACTACCAGCAAACTGACTAGGAAAAGACACAGGCATCAATCAATGAGTCCTAAATATAGCTTGGTTTCTTACACATGTCACCCATCCAAATAACTCCTACTACTAAGGGCCTGTTTGGATGAGTTTTAGATTCTTAAAAACCAGGTTTTGCTTCTAGTTTCTAAAATCTGAATTCTTAGCAAAAACTGGTGGGGATGTTTGGATCCTCCAGTTTTTAAGAATCTTACTTCATTTATTGCTCACAGGGTTACAAAAAACTGGCAAAAGCTGGATATCACCAGCTTCTTGGTTTTTAAGAATCTGGCAAAAACTGACACAAGAAACTGGACAAAAACTACCCCGTTTGGATCCCACCCAGTTTTTAAAAACCATATTCTTGAAAACTGGTGGGATCCAAACAGGGCCTAAAAGGGGTTGGATGATTAAGCAAACATTCCAAAACACTTGGAATATACTATGTTGCTGACATAAAGCCTCAACCGTTGGATCCTAAACTCCACCTTCAGATTGGTGGCACGTATCCTTAGGAGGTCACCTGGCCTGCCAGCTACACCTAGCAATCTATCTCCAAGATATTATTTGTAATTAACCCAACTACATCCATTTTCCTCTGAATGCATACGCGCTACGTTTGCATAGAAAAACCTCACTACATCCACATCAAACCTTAATAGATGTTTATGATCTGTCCGAGAGCTAAAAAGCCCGTAGAAGCTTGAATTCAGATCGGATCGATATATGCATATCAATCAATCGATGAATGAAACTGAAACAACAACAAAAATAAAAAGAAAAAAGAACATGCACATATGTATAGCAAGTAGCAAGAGGTTATTTGTTTGGGGGCATGACGGTCATGATGAGATTGCAAAGTTTGGTATGAAACACGTGATGGGTTAATAATTCATCTGCATGCATGGCGCGAGGTAGCTGATGCTCACCACGATGCCATAATCCAGCCGCCTCTTCTTGCCGTTGAGCAGCACCTTCCCAGTGAGGACCACGTTCCTTGCCAGCCTCCCTACAGATCGCTCACACAAAATCAATCCGTCTCTCATGCACATCATCCATGCCTTCATGAACGAATTGAATCAAAATTTGGTACTAGAAAGCTTTCATGTTTTATTAAGCCTCTGAAATGCTCAAATAAATGATTTTGATTACGAGCCATTGGATGATGCATGACAGTACTAGTTAAGGAGGAGTAGTTCGTAATTACTAATTACAGCTTGGTCCAAATTAAATAGTCCATGGAGGCACGCCGTATAGGAGAGGGAGGAGTACGGAGGTGCGGCTGCGCATTGAATCCTCCGCGTGGGCAGGAGCAGGACACGCGACGCGAGGAAGACGAAGAAAGTCCAGGACGACCTGGTAGTACGTACCGGAGAGGGAGTCGAGGAGTGTGGACTTGCCGGAGCCGGAAGGCCCCATGATGGCGACGACGCGGCCGGGCACGGCGTAGCCGTACAACCCCTGCACCAGCTTCTTGGTCGCCCGGCCGCCGCCTCCCGGCAGCACCGCCGTGAGATTCTCCCACGTCAGGCTTGCGCCGCCGGACTCCGCGTACCGCGCTGCCGGCGACACCGCGCCGCGCCACGCCTCCCCGTTGCCACCGTATGCTCCGCTGCTGCCCTCCATCTCTCTGGCGCTGTCCACTGCGTAACCCCGCCACTCACTTCTCTCGCTTTGTTCTAGCTATGCGCCTGCTGCTAGGCAAGCTAGCGGGATGCAGCAGCAGCTCTGGCGCCTCTCCCCGGACCTGGAGTGGACAGAGGAGCGAGGCAGCTCGCGTCGCTTGGCTAGCCGCGACACGCCTCCCCCCTATTAATGGAGGAGGGATTCCTACTGTGCAAGTGTAGAATACGCATCTGCCGTTTTCCTCTCCGCTTTCTCTCTGCGTGTCTCTGTGATGAGTGCGAGAGGAGAGGACTCTTCAGCTGCAGCGCTTCGGATCTGTTCGGATGCATTTGTATCTGCTCGAGTAAAAATAGAATGAAATTTAGTTTAATTTTATTTTAATCCACACTCCAACATATATATATTAAAATGCGTCCAATCGAGGCCTTCAGCTTGTTTCAATCCACGCACGGTTGGGGAGGTGCCGAGGCATAAGGGCACTACTGTGTGCAGTGCGCTGGTAGTAGATCACGCATTGATGGCGGTGGGGGTTGCGAAGCAGGTGGCCGCAGTAACTGCACGTAATTACGTTTAGGTGGTTACGCTTATTATGTGGTTGTGCAGTGGAGCATCACCACCAATGCTTTGCTGGTCGTCCTGTATGCCAACCAAGTGGCGATAACCGCAGACTAACCATAAACACGTTACTGCAGCAGCGCAAGAACCCTATTATTTGCAGCGAAATTTCTCACCGCATTGCCTCGCTCATCAGTCAATACTTCAACAAGAATGGGAACCATAAGAATATATGCAGGTGTCTTTAATTTGCGATTGTGTTGATAAAAAAACTAATTACTGAAAAGGATGTTTTATGTGCACATTATCAAACGTTGGCATGCAGGGTTTTAATATTTTGTTGGACAGTTGCACCGCACAACTGTACCGAAAGTGACACGAACATAGTCTTGATAGGTTGATGCATTATCAAACTGTCATCAATAAAAGCGTTGTTCCTCTATCTGTATGGTCCTAACTAGTACTGACTCATCGTTGTTACCTAATAAATTGTCAATTCTACTGTCTCATGTGTAGTACAGGTGTGCATACTCACAATTTTCTTTTTCAAAAAGTTGTTAGAGCCACCTTTCTAGCCATACTTCTTACTATAAATAAGTGCTCATTGTAACTTGGTATTTGCTGAAATGTTAGGCTCTGTTTGTTTGAGTTTCTATTGGTTTCATCATGAATTTAAAGTAAGTTGAAATAGATTAAAAAAACCTTTTTGAAAAGAAAATTTCAAAGCTGGCTACTTACTTAAGCAAGTGGCTTTTAAAATTGGTTTCTCACAAATAGACTTTTGTATAGTGTTTGTAAGAAGAGTGACATGACCATCGTTGGATTGGAGAGATCAAGGATTTTGACTTGGAGTTGTGCTAAACGCCATGGAAAAGCAAACGCGTAGCCGATGCTCTTAGCATAAGGGACTATGCAAATGAAGTTCGGAGATGACACCAATATCTAAAGTCTTATGTACAGAGCTTGAACAACTTAAGTTGAGTGTAGGCAGAGACAAGAATCAAGAACCTGAGCCAAAGCCTCCTGCTCCAGAGACTCCGAGTGAGTGAGTGCCCTAGTGGCCTTCCTCCGCCGCCTGCCCTTCCTCTCCGGCGAGCTCGCCGGTGACGAGGGTAGGTGGGCCGGTCCCCCTCTCCTCCGGTAGTTTCCCTTAGTGGAATAAGGCGCTCCGATGGGTGTTCTAAGTGGCCATGGTGGCCGGAGTGAGCTTCCTCCATAGCAACGAGGTGAGTACTACAATAATGCCCGCCTTTTCTCCTATGCTTCTTCCTTGCATGCTCCATGGTTCTGTGGGCTGCATGGCGCTGCCCCCATCCAAATCGAGCAAAGGAAGTAGCATACTTTGCAACAACATCATCAACACCAGCGACCTCGACCCGCTACGAGTCAACGGCGAACCCGACCTGCTGTGTGTGAGCACGGCGGAGCTACTGTCCTCGTCTGGCCCAGTCTTTGCCGCTGTGTCCCTGCGCCGATGCCCGCTGCGCTTCCATACCCGCTGGATCTCCATCTGGAGCTATGGTGGTCAAGCCATGGGCGCGGCCGCGGGGCACGACGGTGGGGAGGCCGGGGCGTCACCATGGAGCGAGGCGGACAACGACGAGCTCGGAGACGGCGTGCCACCCGAGTTGGCGCTTCGGCTCGTCAGGATAGGGGCTATCGTGGGCGTTCTTCACATCGGCAATCGGCGACGACGGCTCGGCGGCGGCCTATAGTGCCTACTCCGGACCCAGGCTAGTGCAGGTGGCCACGAGAGCCACCGCGATGGCGATGGCGAGGGGGCAGCGCTCTTCCCCGGCGGTCTCCTCAACGCGCAGCTCGCCGCCGCGCCATTCCAAGCGGGCATGTGCGTGCTCAACTGGGCCGATCAAAGCACCCCACTGTGGCGGGGCCCTGCTTCTGCGATGTGGGGCCCAGCTCCTGTGTTGCGTGTCTGGCTTTTGCGAGCTGGAACGCATGTAGGCTCCCTCCGTGGCCAGCGCAGAAGCCTTCGGCTGATGGTTGCGACACGTGCCTTCCACAACGATTTTCAGGGTCGCTGCTGTGCTGTTCATGCAGAGCAAATCTTTTTCACTCGTCAATCTACTTTTCTGTTCATTGCAGACATGGTAGTGGTAAAGCGCCTCTTGCTGTTCGGGTTGACCGTTTTAACGTTCGTTGATGCAGGTCCTCAGAATTGACACCGATGACTGTGGATCTTTTTTTTAGTCCGGTGAAGCCTCCATCTTATTTACGGCTCAAGTCTATATATCCTCGAAGACACAGGTCGATCTGACAATCGAGGAGAACGCCGGCTGTGTTATTGGAGTGCGAGAACGATGACCGTCGATGTTTCTATCGTGGCCACTTTCTCGTGGGCCCTGCGCCCCTGACGGAAACATCACTTATGGTCCCGTTCGGCTTACCTTATAATCCGCACTATTTAGCTTGTTTCCTCAGCCGGAACAATGTTTTTCTCTCGCAACAATTCAGCAAGAACAGTATTTTTCAGCCAAGTTTCAGCAAGCCAAACGGAGCCTATATTTTCATGTATTTGTGCTATGTAATCTGGGAATTGTTTTCCCACGCTATTGTATTGTGCTTTAGCATTATATATTAAATGTTATTGTGGTAAAAAAACATAAGTTGAGTGTAGTCACTAATGCTTTGAAGTTGGTAGTAGAGCCTACTTGGGAGAAAGAGTTTCACAAAGGCGCATTGGAATGGTTACTAAGGAGGAGCTACTCAAGGAAGAGAATTGTAACACCCTAAAATTTGCTCCTTTCGAAATAGAGTTGAAATGATTTAATTTTGTATGGTTGTGCTCATGAAAACATACAAAAACAAAAATTTTCATTAAAATAAAATTTATCGTAGGGTGTAGCAATATTGTTGTGCATACATGTTGGTGCATAAGCTTTATTGTACTGTGTGGTTTTTGTTCCAAAGTCAAACTGATTAAAAATTGCTTTTGAAATGGATTTGCAAATTCAGAAAATAAAAAGAAAAAGAAAAATCTTTTCCCCCCTCTCCCTTTCGACTGAAAGGCCCAGCTCGGCCTACTCTGCCATTTCTCCCGCAGGCCCAAGTCACCGGAGCCTAGCTTCTTTCACCCCCTCACCTGTGACCCACACCAGCAGGCCGGCCCAGCAAGAGGCGAAGCCCACGCGCGCAGTTCCCCCTCCCTTCTCTCTCTGTCTGGCGCCCAAGACCTGCTCCTTCAGCCACTGCCATGCTGGGCCCCCTTGTCAGCCGGCGTCATCCCCTACCTCCGTCGTCCCCAACTAGGACTCTACCCCCGAATTGGATGCAGCCGAGCCCGATTTCCCACGATATAAGTCGAGCCCCAGGTGCGCTGCTCCCCTTTCCCAACTCTAGCGCAAGCCGTCGCCTCTGCTCGAGCCGTCACGCCGTCATGAAGCCCTAGCTCCGCCACTGCCGAGGGTTCCGTCGCCTGCCCCCCTGTTCGAGCAAACTGTCGAGCCTCTCTCCGTGGTAGTGGACCTTCCCCGTGCAGTTTTTCTCCTCTCTTTTGCTCTCTGGTGCTCACCTGCTGTCGCCATTGCTTTGCAGAACACCGCCGTTCGCCAAACTGAGCCCCATGCCATCTCCGTTTTGTCTCAGTCCATGAATCCACCCTAGGTGAGCTCGTAGTCGTCTGCGCTATCTTCCGGTGCTGTCGGTTCGCGCAGCCGTGGCCCGTAGGCCAATTTTCGTGTTCACCGGTGAGGTCCTTGCCACCGGCAATTCTCTCTCCCTCCCTCCTAATCTAGACCGTCCAGTGCTGGATCAACGGCCCAGATCGCTCAATACCCCTTTGCCGTGAACTTTTGTTAAAGAGACGCTCACTTTCTTCCTTTTTTATGCCCGCAGTCCTCACCAGAATCAAAAATCCAATTTCTGATCTAATTTAATTCATAAATAAGTTCGCAGTAATTACAAAATTGCCATTCAGTAGCTTATAATTAGCATATCTTCTCCGTTTTAGCTCCGCTTTCGGTGATCTTAGCGTCTATGTGATCGTAGCGATGCGTAAATTAATTTTATAAGCTTTTTAACTTGTTTTTCCACTGTTGGTGTAGTTTTCTAATTGTAGCCTTTGTTTGCTTCGTGTATGATTGCATGGATGCTTGTATGTTGTTGTATGATCGAGTATATACTGTAGGGTTATGAGGATGCTACGCTAGCCGGAAAACAAAAATTCGACCTCATAAACTAGGATCTACTGCTAGTTATAGATCACGGGATTACCACTAGACGCGCAGGTGCAGCGGAAGCGACTTGATGTAGTCGTACGCGTCGTAGCAGTGCCGTGCAGTTGCAAGGTTGTCCTTATGTCCATCCCCTTCGTGCGGTTCGTCCTTGTGCTCCAGATGCAACACCTCCGAGGTATCCACACGTACAGGAAGGAAGCGTCGCGCCTCCAGACTGCTAGGTCCGCGAGGAGCAGCAGGCGCAGGCGCAGGCGTAGGATGGGCGGCGACGGCTGCCAAAAGGCGTGCCCCTGCTTAGCCCCGTTGCCCACCCCACTTATTTATAGGCGTCCCTAATGAGCTCCTGAGTTGGAGGCCCATTAGTAACCCTAAGCCTTGTCTAACTCGGATCCAATTCGAATTAGGCTTCCAGCCCCTTAAGCGTGCGACCCTATGGGTTCACGCACACATAGACATGGCCCGAGTACTCCTACTCGGCCATTAGTTGATATCGGCCTCTAGCAAGGCACGTCAACTCCTATGCGTACGCAAAGATCGTATCAGACGAACCACCACAAAACCACATACTTGTTATTCCCTTGCCTCATGATATTTGGTCCAACTCATAGGTTAACACTTAACCCAAGCATGGCCATGCATTTCTTGATCTAATTATTAGAGTGATCCAGTGATATCTCTCTCATATAGAGAGGGGCAAATTCCATCTTGATTGTCTATGTCTCATAGCATGTTTCCCGACAAACCCGAAAACCACCTTTATAACTACCATGTTACGGAGTAGCGTTTGATAGTCCCTGAGTAGGTCGTTTCACATCTTGAATACATACAACAATCTCAGGTCTAAGGACATAACGTACATGATGTGAATAGAGATAATAACAACATCTCACGTTGGGTCAGTCCAGCCCCATGTCATACATGTGCCCACATTATCAGTTTGACATCTCCATGTCTATGACTTGTGAAACATAGTCATCAACTAATAATGTGCTGATCCATTATTCATGTGTGTCCTCACACGAACTCTGACCAGGGGCAACATTAGAATAACCATACAAGTAAAAGAGTTTCACAAACAATTCACATAATTGCTAATCGATACAGGTTGTCTTTAATGAAAATTCAATGAACTCATAATATATCATGGATACAAGGCAATATAATCATCTCTATGATTATCTCTAGGGCATACTCCCAACATAGACGGTGAGCAGTACTATGGTGATCAAGAGTAATACTTTGACGAGCAGGATCAGCAGGAACATTTTGAGCAAGGCAAGTATAGCATGGGACCATCCTTGTCTCCTAATAACATATAATATAATTTCATTCATGTGCATGTGTCTACCTTGATGCTACTAAGGATATCCTAGCTATTTGATATCTTGTACCTTAACGCCATAGGTGATTTGCATTGGGTAGTATTATGCTAGTGCTCAAGATAAATAACCATGATATGTAACTTGACTAATGGTATATATAATAAACGTTTAAAAGATGATTTTTAGCAACATGGCTCAAGAGGGCTAGAGCATTGGGATGTTTTTATGGTGCTCTAGTTTTTCTCCCTAAGGACTTATCTGTAAATGGATTTCCCTGGAACTTACAGTACAACCATGAGTGCTACATGGCTCTGGCTTTAGTTAAGTATGATGACCTTTTCTAGCTTGTTAGAGGTTACCCGAAAGGGCGCAAATGGGGTGTGCTCCGGGTTGGGTGTCGTGCGGCCTCTGTTCTTAAGTGTATAGCCTGCGCGGAATGTGCCTTAGAAAAGAGGAGCTCTACATTTGCAGGCCACATAAACCTAGCGGCCCTAACTTGTTAGACAAACCTTTGAAAGACTTCATAGTGATCCATGCCTACTCATCTTGGAAGTGTTTCGGGAGTAATTAACCTGAGTATATGGGTATCATGGTTCATGGTGAAAGTGTCCAACCTCTACAGAGTGTAAAACTGTTATAATGACCATGCTCATGGTCACGAGCAACCTAGGTTCCTTACTAAATAGATGATGAACACTAATTATACTAATAATTATTGTTTCTTGCTATACAATATTCTTGTTTACATGATCATGTCGTTATTTGGGGCTTATGCTAAACTTGTTGCTACTCAATTGCTAAAAGATGATTCACTAAAAGCTATCACAATCAAACCCGTGTTAACATTTTGTGCTTCATAACCCCATGTTACTCTTGTTGAGTACGAGATGTATTTACGCTTGTCTTTACTTTTTACTTGAAAAAAAAATCCCGGATGGGTACCAGATTGCTAGTCTGGAGGAGTTAGACTTGTGATCAACCAGTTAGTTGTCCCTGTGGAGTGGAGTTTTCACTTAAAGATCAGAGTGTTTTTCCGCAATCTACTATCTAAGGTTGGATTCTTTGTTTTAAGTATGTTATATTATAAGCATTGTCTTTTGATATTACCTTCATTTGTAGTCATATGTGTGATTTGACTTTCTAGACTCAAATATGGTGTGTATCTGATTTTGTCTTTAAAACCAGGTGCTACAAATTTATGGAGCACCTCTTCAGGTGCTTTCACAACTCCACCATTTTTCCTCGAACAGAGTGCGCACTACCCTAGACTAGGATCTCTCTGCCGGTTCAAAACCCCCCTTCACTGCTAGATTTTGAACTGACAGCGGCAAACCGACAGTGATGGGGGCTCACAAGACTGTCGGTAACTTCGAACCGCTAGTGATATCTAATGTCACTGCCGGTTCCTAGTGCCACCGAGCAGTGTTGGCTTGAGCTAGCACTGTCGGTTTGTGGCTCAACCCGACAATGTTCTTTCAAGCAACACTATCGGTTTGTGGCTCAAACCGGCAGTGTCCTTCCACTCAACACTGTCGGTTTGTGGCCTGAGCCGATAGTGTTGTCTTGACCAACACTGCCGGTTTGTGGCATGAGCCGGCTGTGTTGCCTTATGCATCACTACCGGTTGTGGTTCTAGCCGGCAATGTTGCCTTATGCAGCACTGCCGGTTTGTGTCATCAGCCGACAGTGTTGTCAAATGCATCACTGTTGGCTTGTGTCTCAAGCCGGCAGTGATGTCTTCAACAACACTGCCAATTTATAGCTCAACCCGGCAGTGCTCTCTTTACTATCATTGCCGTGCAGTGATCTATTTGTCGCATTTTATTATTTCATATTTATTTATTTATTTTTGTGGAATTGGGTTTCGCTTTATTATATTTGCTACATAGACCAACAAATCCATCAACATTAAATATTACAAATCCCACGCGATTTATATTACAAATGACACAGTTATAATGAAAAAGTACTTATAAAAGACGACGACATTATCACAAGTCCATCAAGATAGCTATTACAGTAATCTATCGGCGGCAGCTTTTGCATATAACTTGTTGTCCTTGGTCTTGGCCCGACAAAGGGAGAATATCACATTTTTACTACACACCTTGTCCAAGATGAAGCCTGCTATCGCATCCTGGAATCCTTGGATCTCGGGTTCTAACAGCAAGCGGCGCCCAATTTTATCCCGCTGTCGTTCAAGCAAGATGATATCGAAATGAACAAATGTAAGACAAAACAGTAGATCATTTTATTGAAATACATGAGATGAGAAGCATACACACCCGTTCATATGAGGTTTTTGTTTTCCCGCCGATGTAATGGTACATTACCATATTACGTACAACCCGCATTCGTTGTTCGCCATCGGCTGATCTATGGTATCCATTTCCATACGGAAAAACCTCGAATGGGGGCGTCGAGGGCCCATCCATTTTTGCCTTGACACTGTCATATAAAGTGTAAAATAAAAAACATTAGAATATGCTATGTGATTAAAAAATATGTTATTAGGTTTACTTACTCATTTAGCACTGCGCATAGGGGATCGACATGAGAAAGTGGTTTCTTCTTCGAGTCCCATATCGTATAGTTTGGCATGAACCCCCTAGTAATCAAGTGCATTCGTACAGACTCAATTCTCTCCCATTTCCTTTGATTCATGCAATCTTTGCATAGGCAGAATATAGGGTTTCCATCCCCGGCATCGGCGATAAACTTGCTGACGCCAAGCATGTACCGCTTGTCCGTTCGGGACAAATGCATCCACTCTCGATCCATCTCTGCACAAAAAAAAATATTGAGAGAGTAATTACAGATAAATTAATAACAAGTTGAGCTTCATGGACAATTGTAACTTGAAAGTATCATTTATTCTACACTTATTTAATTTAGTCAACCCATTTTAGAAAAAAATTATTCTACACTAATTATTGAAAAATTAAAATTTGTAGCCCCATAAAAAACAATGATTGCACAATAATCAAGAACAATTATTCTACTCCATGTCACATAAAAATGGAGACACTATTTTTTTTAAAAAAACTAAAATTGGAGATTTGATCATGAAAAACAATGTGTTGGTAGGAATTTAAAAGAATCTAATTTGCTCACTCCTAACAAGAATCTACTCCACTCCTAACAAGTATCTACTCCACTCCTAACAAGAACTAATTATAACATCACATACTAACAATCATCTTGACCACCATGTAATTAGCTAAGAATTTAAATGGGTTCATAGACACTAATCTTTTGATGATGGATTCTCCACAATTTGCTTGGATACCTTGCACAAAGTCCAATTGAAAAGTGCTCTCTAGAATGGAGAAAGAATTAGAATGAGAATCAAGCAATGTAGCCATCAAAACAACGATAATTAAGTAACAAAATCAAAGAAGTGGATGCTTGTTACTAACCTTAAAATAAAAAGATCAAGCCTATTCTTCAAAATCTAAGAGCTAGCTTCATGGTGAAGAGCAGCCGCAACAATGGAGGGAGGGGGGCAAACGCGCGCCTCTGTGCTCGGGATGAAAGAGAGGAGGGAGGAGAGGATGACGCCAGAGTTTTGTATTGTCAGTTTACCACCGTCGGTTCTTGGCTTGAACCGACAGTGATATCGCCATATCACTGTCGGTTATTGGTTAGAACCGGCAGTGATATGTGACCGTCCACTCACTACCGGTTCTAGCCACAAACCGATAGTGATGTGGACTTTCAATACCGTTTTTGGCCCACCCTAATCATTTTTCTGATTTTGAAGTCCAGAACCGGCAGTGAAGGGTCATCACTGTAGGTTGGCCGAAATCCGGCACCGATAAGGCCGAGAGTGATATTCAATTATGTAGTAGTGGCGTGGAGCTAAAATCATTTGGCTAAAAAATGTGGAGTGGAACAGTTCCAAACACCCCTAGCCTTAACACGTTACTGCCGCAGTGCAAGAACCCTAGCTAATTTAGGAGTGTGCATTGACAATCGGAAATCCAAACTCCAGAATTGCCTCAATACCGAAATATCCACCGTATTGCCTCGCTCAGTCAATACTTCAACAAGAATGGAAACCATAAGAATATATATGCAGGTGTCTTTAATTTAATAATTTGCGACTGTGTTGATAAAAAAAAACTAATTACTGAAAAGGATGTTTTATGTGCACATTATCAAACGTTGGCAGGGTTTTTAATATTTTGTTGCACAGTTGCACCGCACAACTGTACCGAAAGTGACATGAACATAGTCTTGACTCTTGATAGGTTGATGCATTATCAAACTGTCATAAGTAGAAGCGTTGTTACTCTATCTGTATGGTCCTAACTAGTACTGAATCGTATCGTTGTTACGGAGTATACCTAATAAAGTGTCAATTCTACTGCCTCATGTGTAGTACAGATGTGCATACTCACAATTTTTTCCATTTCAAAAAGTTTTAGCCATACTTCTTACTATAAGTGCTCATTGTAACTTGGTATTTGCTGAAAAGTTAGGCTCTGTTTGTTTGAGTTTCTATTAGTTTCATCATGAATTTAAAGTAAGTTGAAATAGATTAAAAAAAACCCTTTTAGAGAAGCATTTTTTTTCTTCTCGAACACGCAATAGCGTTGCGCATCATTTGTATTAAGAATAATGGTTTTATAGTACAAGTGGCCTGAGCCGGCCCGGCTTTGCGCTGAAGATTACATTTTTTAAGAAAATAAAACAACCGCAGCTCTTGATCGTTTGCACTAGCCTTGCTGCTGCGCTCTCAGGCTCGCCATTCCTGCTGCACCCGCCTGCATCCATCTGTCGGCCTCGGCCCGGATGATCGAGATGAGCCCAATCGGTTGCAACGTAGCATCCCTGAAGCACCGCGCGTTCCTTTTCTTCCAAACCTCCCAGGAAACCAGCGGGAACAGCGAGTCCATGCCGGAGCGCTGGGTGCCGGTCCAATCAGAGCGCAGTCGCCGCCACCAGTCGATGATTGTTGCTGAACCTTGCCGGAGCTGACGACCGAAGGCTTGGTAGATTAGGCTCCATACTCCCCTGGTGTATGGGCATGTGACCACTATGTGTTCGATGGTTTCCGGCGCCTGATCACAGAGATAGCAATGTTCCCTCGTTTCCAGTCCGTGGCGTCTGCGGCGATCCCCCGTCCAGTGTCTTCGACGGAACGCCAACCACAGAAAGATCTTTACTTTTAGTGGTGCCCAGGTCTTCCAGATTAGGGCCATGTTTAGATTGTAAATTTTTGCAATCTGGACACTGTAGTACGTTTCGTTTGTATTTGACAAACTTTATCCGATCATGGACTAACTAGGCTCAAAAGATTCGTCTCGTGATTTACAACCAAACTGTGCAATTAGTTACTTTTTTTATCTATATTTAATACTCCATGCATGCGTCCAAAAATTAATGTGATAGAGAGAAAATGAAAAAACTTGGAACTTTGATGTCATCTAAACAAGGCCTAGCTTTGTCCGCGAAATTGGGTAGCGCCTGTATGCAACATTCTGTATGCCGACTTGGCCGTGTAGTCCCCGCTTTGTGTCCACCTCCAGACTGTTCTGTCAGGTTGGTCAGTGAGGATAGTAACTTCGACGGCATCCCAAAGGGTGAAGTAGTCGAAGTTTGCAGGAATGGAAAGTCCACCAGTGATTGCTCGGACCCATTGCCTGCCGTTGATGCCCTGACGTACAGTTTGCCGTTGACGGGTTCTTCTCGGCACCAGCTGCGAGAGTGTTGGGGCCAAGTCGCTAGCTGATTGTCCGTTGATCCACCTGTCCTCCCAAAACAGGGCAAGATTGCCGTCGCCGAGGACTGTAAACGTGGAGGCCTTGAAGAATGCCTGTACTTGTGGGTCTGTTCTGATTGGCAATTGGCTCCACGCCCGATCATTGTCGGTCTTTTGCAGCCATAGCCATCTAGATTGCAGAGCGTAGCCAGCTAGTTTGAGGTCGGTTATGCCGAGGCCGCCCAGTTCAGTTGGCTTGCACGCGGACTCCCAGGCTACCATGCACTTGCCTCGAACTGACGCGTCAGTCCCAGCCCAGAAAAATTTGCGGCAGATCACGTCAATTTTCCGACGTGCCCACGGCGGCAGGCTGTCTGCCATCGTTACGTAGATTGGCACCGCCCGGAGCACTGATTTTACCCACACGAGTCGGTGAGAAGCAAATTTTAAAGCTGGCTACTTGAAAAGCATGTGGCTTTTAAAATTGGTTTCTCACAAATAGACTTTTTTATTTGTCGGAAGAAATTTTTTTCTACCATTTGACAGAAACTCAAACGAACTAATGCACGAGCTAAATTGATTTTATATTCATGAGAAACATCATGCATACGTCGTTCCTCTGTTCCACTCTCCTTACTTTTCCCTTTGTTAGCGCCAAAAACGTCCACGCACCACAACGCTACAACGTGCGAACACAGAGAGTTCGATCACAGTGAACTCTCGTCCAATTTGTACACAACGGGCCGTCGGCACCAGCGAAATTATGCACGGATCGTAGATCAGTGAACCTTCAGCGAGTTCGTGTGCACTGGCCCGTGTGGTGTCAATGGGATTGTGCACGTTGGACCATGCAGTGTGAGCTACCGGACTGTCTGGTGCTCTTTGTTTCACTAGGAAAACCTTTGAACATTAGACCAGGAGGGACCCCATTTGGGCTGGTGCACTTAGGGTTGTTCTAAAGTTAGCAAGATTACTTAGAATGCCTCAAGTCGCCGTATATAGGGATGAAAACATGATTGATATTTCCCGATATCCATCCATTCCGAAATGTTTTAAACCCTACTTGGATAATCCATATATGAATTTCAATATTTAATATCCATATCGTATCCGAATCCGAATACTCAAAATTGGATTTCTGATACATATATGGCATAAATATATATATCAATATCCAATGCATCGGACACTATCCGTACTCGACTTTGAATCCCATAAAGAAACGACTACCCATATTTGATATTCGTAATACCCATTCGTATCCAATCTGGTTGAAAAAAGATAGAACTGAAATTCAGGGTTCAAAAAAGATTTAGGGATTGGAGAAATACTAGCACATGTGCCTGTGCATTGCAACGGAACATACCGCTTATGTCATCTGTTACAATACATCTTTTAATCGGCCTGTTCCAATACAGTCTTGAAATATACTCTTTACCATGACTAAATATGTGCTATTGTAAGTCGTGAACTCGGATCACGATCGAGACATTAAACCAACTATGACTCTTAGTCTTATATCTAATTAATCACATATGTGCTATTGCAAGTTGTGAACTCGGATCACGATGGAGACAATAAACCAACTATGACTCTTAGTCTCATCTCTAATTAGTAACATACTATTATTCTTATTAGTAAAACTAACTAAAACTCTTATGTTCAGGGAAGGATGAGCACAAGCATCGCTATTAGTGTAGATATAGATAAATAGATATATGCTTGTACCTTGCTACAGTGAATTAATGTCATGTAAATAAATACATTATGAATTTAACCAATTTGTTAAGTACTAATCTATTTTTTTTTCTAGAAGACCATCATCAGTCTATTAGAACTTAGAAGACTGCTTATATTTTTCTAAAGGGTGGTGATTTTATGCCAAAGATATCAGAAGCAATTTTCAAAGAGACTTTTGCACTTTTGCTTTATATAATAATAACTTTTTTTTTTGTTTTCCATAACCCTTCATGGGCACACAAGAATTGAGCTACACAACACGTTATCTCGTATATGTGGATTCCAATTATATCGAATGACTCATCGTTTATGCCTGTAGCTAAATAAACATATGGTTCGACGTTAGCTTATATCATTTAAACACACATGTGATAAAATGAATATTTTTATTTGAATAAATATTTTTCAACAGTTCCCTTCTGCCATTGGACATCTAGCAATTTTGAGAAAGCAACGGCGACCTGCTGAAAAATCTAGGCATGGGTGGGCTCCACCACCGGACAATTGCTAGCTAGGGGAGATGTCTGTGGGAGACAGATTCGATCACGCCGTAACTTACCCTATGACATCCACCGTGCAAGGATATTCCAAGAGCTGCTAGTGATTTTTCGTCGAGAATTTGGCACTTCAGCCGTGAAAGACAGGGCATGAGAGCCATTCTCCGTTTGCGAGTACCGGGGGACCCTCCTGGTCGACCAACCGGCGGTGATTGCTGGTTTCACCATCGGCCCGGCATATGATCCAGCGGTGAATCCAATGCCAGCTGTCGCCGCCATGTCACTACTAGAAATATCCACTTCTATGATGAAGATCTTAATGACGAATCCAAAATCGTCATAAAAATCGCTTTTATGACAAATATTTCGGTTTCGTCATAAATCATCGGTAACGATCCTCAAACCCTCTTTATCAATGACGAAATCGGATATCGTCATAAAAAACGTCATAGAACAGCATATGGTTTCATCACAGATTACTAGCGCGACTGTTCCTGCTCATCTGTAACGATCTTATTTAGAACTGTGACGACCAGGGCTTCATCATTGAACTAATTATACATTGTGACGAATAATATTCGATCTGTAACGAACGACGCTTTGTCATAAATCTCCACACGGTGGGACCTGCAGTTACTCATCTGTGACATTGGCAATTCGTCATAAAAGTTTTCGCTCAGTCCTTTTTCGTCAAAAAAGTCTCCGCTCGGTCCTTTTTCATCGTAAAAGTCTCCGCTCAGTCCTTTCCCTATCTAACATGTACCTATGTGACCCTTTTCCATCTGACCTGTCGGACCCCTGTGGGACCCAACGGCTTACGTGTCACGTATACCTATGGGACCTTTCTCCATCTCCATCCGACCTATGTGACCCGACGGCTTGCGTGTCACTTGTGGACCCTTCTCCACCCGACCTTTGGGACCCGACGGCTTACGTGTCACGTGTACCTATGGGACCTTTTTCCATCTCTATCCAACCTATGGAATCCGACGGTTTGCGTGTCACTTGTTGCCGCCGGGGTTTAATATATTCAAACTCAAAAAGACAATGAGACCTGGGAGTCGAACCTGGGACCCAAAGCAAGGAATATACCGTCTTCACCATTGCGATAGACGCCTGGTTGTGTTGACATGTCTTTGAAGTCCTTATAGTAGTATATGTTCTCTGTGTGGATAGGTTGACTTATATATTGGATATATCCCCTACAAGTGGAAATAAATTTGTGCCTATTGGACTTGCAGCGACGGCGACGGCGACGGAGGATCCTTTGTGTGCTGCTGTGGTGTCTCAGGCGTCCTTCTAGAGGCTAGGCGGCGGGTCTTCCCAGTGGAGCGCGGCAGCATTGGCGTCCGTGTTCATCATGTGCCACGATAGATGCGACAGATCTGATCCACAGGTCTCCTTTCTCGCCTTTTTCTGTTCGCTTCACTGTTTTGGTCCTTGCTTGAACATGAGGTATACAAGAAACATAGTAGCGTTGCAAATCTGTTTAGGCCAATGCTGATGAAAAGAACTAGGAGGTAGCACTAGTTGATTTTCTGCTGGTGTCTTGGTTTTCTGCATATGTTCACTGTTCTTACTGTAAATGCATGTGTAACTAGGCCTGTTAATTGTCAAGTGCTTACATGATTATACCTATCTGTCTAGGCAAACATACATGCCCTTTGCTTCTTCCTTAAACTATTTTTTTGTCCAGTGCTTTCTTAATTCTACATTTCTGTTTCGTATGCTCTAGTGCCACTAGTGAGTCCTTATGGTATTTTGAACTTGTAACGTATCTGAGGCCACATTTCTATGCCAATGATGTCAACATCGTTGTTGGATGTATTAGAATGCAACTCATATGTTTGATAACCAAGTTATCCATTTGGTTCCAAACAAGAGGAAGGCATCGAAAGCAAATCAATGCTTTATGTCCATCATTCACATCACTAAGGCCAATAATGTTTAAGCTGCACATGTTGCTACTGATGCCAATGATGATCACTACCACTTGTTCACTGACATTCTACTTGAACTGAGGAAGCTCAATTAACTGCTGAAATTATAATGGTTATAGCTCCATTAACTGCTACTCTTGTGTGAGTTATATATATCTATGTGGTGCTACTCTAAATTTACATGAGGTCGTACCATGAAAATTGTTAATAGTTGTTAAAGTTGCACTTTGGTATGAGTTTTGGACTTCACTGATGGATCTTTGTTGTATTATTTTCCTCTTCAGTGATCTCATTACTGAGGAAGCTCTCATCGTACTGCACACTGACGAAATGGAGGAGGCCCCCAACAAGAGGAACGCACTGGTCAGCCTCACGGAGGATGTCATTTTTGAGATCCTCCACCGCCTCCCCGTCCACTCCTTGTTCTGCTGTAAATGTGTCTGTCGCTCTTGGAGAAACCTCATCTCGGACTCCAACAACCATAAGAATTTGCCCCAGACTATGGCTGGCTTCTTCTATGATAGTGAGGACAGCAATCGACACTTCACCAGCATCCCTGGTGTACGCCCCCTCCTTGGAATTCTTGCCCTTCAACATTGACAATGTAGCTATCTTAGATTGCTACAATGGCCTCATCCTATGTTGGTGCCTTGGGGCTGATGGATACCGCTATGTTTGTCTGCAATCCAATAACCCAGAAGTTTAATATACTGCCGCCTAGCACCTATGATGTTGGCCATTCTGTTGGTGAGGCTCGCTTGGGGTTTGATCCGACAGCCTCCTCGCACTTCCTTGTGATTGAATATGTGGATGCCGATGCTGTGTGCGTAGATGTGGAGATTTACTCATCTGAAACTGCAGCATGGATCTATAAGGAATCTGAATGGGGCGAGCATACTAATGTGACATTTTATAGATCACCAAGTGTGTTTCTTAATGGTTGTCTGCACATTATGGGGCGCTCTAGGCAGTACTCTATGATACTTGCTGTGGATATGAAGGGAAACACATGGAGAAATTTGATAGACCTAGTGGTCTTCAACACTCCATGCATCAAGCTCAGGGTCACTTGTGTGTATGTATTGTTGCTGGTCCCAATAATTCTAAGCTCTGAATCTGGATCCTTGAAGACTATGGTACTAATAATTGGACATTGAAGCATACGGTCAGCACACGGATCCTATTTGGAAGGATTAATATTAGA